CTGTAGAGATAGAGATGGGCGTATTGAGCCCGTGTAGCCAAGTTGCACGGCTCCGTGAGCTCGCGAGAGAGGGAGACGGGACTCGACGTGGAAAGATGTATTCGAGCATTGAGACGAATGCATGCCATTGAAACTCGGGCTTTGAACGCCCCCGCCTGTCAACACAGGCAACCGAGTGGGCGGAGCGCAGGGTTACAAACACAGTCACAGTCGTACAGAATGAGGATACGATTTGCAGTGAGACGGCCTCCGAGGGGGAAAGATAAAAATGAAGATTGCTCATCTCCAATAGCAAACTGGCCGGTGAGAATGCTTGTTGTGGGACTTGTTGTGGTGTTGTCTGTCTCATGATTCACGGTAGGCGACACGGATCTAGGTCACTGATTCCGCTTCCATACGACAAGACATCGGAAAAACGGCGACGGGCTACGAGCGAGGACGCAACATGCAGAGTTGAAGTGTTCTATCGTTATTTTGCTTGGAAAGAATATATCCCCCGACGGGCCGTGACGTCCCTCCCACCACGACCTGTCCCGTTCATACGCCTCCGCGCCTCTACTGTCGCGTGATCTGACGGAGACGGAGGAAGGGTAGGGGGTATTTCCCTACCCGCACCGTCGCCGCCCGATTGGAGAGAGAAGACAGTAATCCTACCGCCGGTCACCCCACAGAGGGGGCGGACCAGTGGAGGGGCGCGTCGGCCAACCTCGACAGCCGGCTTCAGGCAAGTCTCATGGGCCTCGAGAATGATGACGAGTACACCATGCGATCAAGAAGAAGATGAAAGAACAAGAAGAAGAAGAAAAGAAAAAGAGAGACAGGGTTGCCTTCTTTTAAATGTCATCAATGGCAATGTCCTTCTTGCCCTTGTTGCCGTCCTCGGTGTCGTCCGAGTCGTCGTCCGAGTCGTCGCGGTCGTCGTCAAACTCAAAGTTGCAGTCGTCGTTGCCCTCGGCGCCGTACGTGTCCGTCTCGTTGATCTTGGCCGACTCGGGCAGCTCGCCGTAGGCCTTGAGGGAGCGGGCCTCGTCGGCGGTGTACTTGAGGATGACGTCGCCCTTGTCGTCCTGGTACTCGCGCAGCGAGAGCAGGATGATGTCGCCCTGGTTGATCCAGACCTTCTTGCGGAGCTTGCCGCGGATGTTGCCGAGGCGCTTGGTGCCGTCGAAGCAGAGGGCCTCGAGGCGGCCGTTGCCGAGCATCTTGACGACCTGGGCGTACTCTGTCGTGGCGGGAGGGTCAGCCTTGATGCACGAAAGGTAGGGTTTCTTTCCATTTTTTTTTCTTTTCTCTCGTTTGGTTTGCGGAGGAAGAGGAAGCCACACGACGACGTACCCTGACCGTCCTCCTTGAAGGTGAGCTCACGCTTCTCGTGGTCGGACTCGTTCTTTCCACGTCTGCGGTTCTTGCCGCCCTGTTTTCGGTTGTCTTTGTCAGCCACGGTTCTGTCGTCGTCATCTTGTGTTGTCGTGGAGTCGGGCGTGGATGAGGCACATGGAGGGGGCGGGGCAAATGTCGCGGACCCCGCGCTTAAGGAGGGAGCACGGCGGCGAAACCGCGCGGCGCAAAGGAGGTCTCAGTGGCATCAGACAGACAAAGCAGGCGAAACAACGTCCCTTTCCCTTTTTTTTAGGCATTTTGGGTGTTTGTGGAGGGAGGGAGGGGGGGGGGGGGGTGGTTTGGAGGGGTTGATGTGGTGATGAGAAGGGTGGAGGACGAGGGAGGAGATCTGGGGCGTGGTGTGTTTTGTAGTTCGACAGGTTCAGGCCGCCTTGGGCTTTTCTCTGGAGGGGCAGATTCGGAGCGAGGGGCGGCGGCGGCGGCGAGTGGGCACGTTTTGTGCTTTGGTTTTGTGGTTTGTGCAGGTTCATGCTTCTGTGAGTCAGTGGGGTTGTGGTGGGGCAGCACCCTCCGTTTTGGCCAACACCTACCGTAACCTAGGTACTTGTACATGTACAAGCAAGCACATGCATGCCAGGCCAAAACGGTCAGTACGAGAAAAACGGATCCACCAATACAACAACCTCTTCCCTGCCCAGCCATGCTGATGCACACAGAGCACAGCATCTGCGTCTTCGGATTCGTCCTGTCTAGCCGCCCCGTACCCAAAGAAGCCGCCGCGCACCCAAACGAGCCGGCTGGCGCAGACAACCTTACGGAGAAGCTCTAGCTGCGGCCAAGGTTCCTACACGACGGCAACCGCAACATCAAGCAACGACAGCATCACGCTCGCCTTGATGCGTTACCTGCCTCTTCTTTGTCCAGAGCACGCCTGACGAGGGTTGACGCACAGCACCACCCGAAAGGCCATGCTGCCGCGGCTCGGCCATGGCGCGCGCCCCTCGCACCAGCTCCTATCGCTCGCGCGCCGGCCATGGCCATGTCCACGACAGCTAGACCACCTGTTGGGACTGCGGCTTTCGGTGCCGCCAAGTTCACGCCGCAGCTTCGCGTCGACGCCCTACCGCTCAGCACGCCCGTCGCCGGAGCACCGCATCGACAGATACATCCAGTCGGCCCTCGAAGACATGGACGTGCGGCCGCCGAGCGCCATGCCGCGCCCCGCGGTGAGCATGACGCCGCGGACGGCGGACGCGTCGGCGCTGTCTTCGCTCGCGTCGGCGCGGTTCGCGCCGGGCTGGGGGTCGTCAAGGCTCACGACCGGGCAAACTTAACCCGCTGGCACGGGACCGCACCGTAGTCAGTTAAACACTACCGGACGAATGGAGGTAGGGAACGCGGGGGAA